TTAACATGCCCCTCTTTAAGAAGGCATGAATAAAAGGTTAGTAACTTAGAGTTTCTCCAAAAGACTCTAATTTTTAAAGGGCATATTTTACAATTTAAATAGCATCTAATAAATTTAATGAGTAAAATTATTTAAGTATTCTAACAGGTTCTTTATATTTAACAATTAAATTTACTATTCCAAAAAAAATTATTGTTTTTTCCTATATTTTAATTTCACTAACTTCCCTCGAAATTATTATATTATTTATCTCCATTCAGTCTTTTGGAACATAATTTTAAAAATTAATTTTTCAAAATAATAAGCATATTATGTTTAAAGAGTCTCTTAATATATTCAATGGGTGGCCACCAAGTATTGAGCAACACATTTAATGGTATTCCCCCATAATTTTAATAATATACCACATTTAAAGCATTGACATAATTTTATTGGCGAACGATCTAAAATAAGTTGATAAAGCATAAAACATATGGTGCGACTTGAGAGTACGAGGTAAAATAAGTGCTTGCACATTCTTAAGAATTATAATAGCTAAATCAATATTTGCCTTGAGCTTGAGTTTTATTTTAATAATTTTGAATACATATATTATTTTTCTTTATATGTTCAATTCGTAACTGCTTGATTTATTGAAATATCTGAATTAACTAAATCCTTCGCTAGGAGACGACCGTCGAGATGTACATGAAAATTGAACTTTTAATTTCCAACGCCATGCCCAACAAAGAACAATTTTGATGGGTGTACAGGATTAGTTCTACAGGGTTTTCATAGATTCCTCACATGATGCGAGACCCACCTCATTAAAAAATTACCCCAAAAATTCCCAACCCCCCATGTTTGTGTGTATTCGGTAGAACCCTGCCTGGTAACCCAGCACGGCCCAACATAGAAAATGAGAGTGCACATAAAGACAAAAAGAATGACATTAGTTTACTAAAAGACGTACAAAATACTCTTACATGCTAAAACTTGCTTCAAGGGCTCCTAACTCAAGCCTAAAACTAAAGTCTCATTTCTGTTCCTCTTGAAAAATATTAAGCAATTTGTTCTGGACGGATAGAAGATTGGCAATTTAGGATCAGAAGGTCCACGAGGATGATCTCTTCAAGACGGGTTTCAGTTGTTTGTCTTCCTCGTGTGCAACCATACCCAAATGGGAAGGGTCTTCGAGCATCATTTTCGCCACCAAATAGCCAGAAATCGACCAGGTTTGGTATCTCCGAGCTTGCTTCCCAATATACCGACCAAGTTTTCCGTCATAATATTCTGGCCAGCCGTCTTTTGATAACCTAGCTTCAGCAAGTTCAATGGCTCGTCTAGCAATCTGGGGGCGCCCTGTCTTGATACAAGCTGCTGTGAGAAGCCATAGAAGCACTGCACCAACCATAATCGAACGAAATATAAGGACCTTATACAGTAGCATAAAAGGATTGAAACCATTGATAGTAGGATCCATTTGAAAATCCTCAAAATGTGTAGTTTGAAAGTAAATTCATATATAGTTAAAAATGAATAAAATTCCTCTGAAGTACAAATGTATCAATCTTCAAATTGAGAACCTATATAGATATGGTCCTTAGTATTCAATGTAAGAAGAAAAGCCTTCAACAATTAATTATACAGGTTGTACGGTTTGAGATCAATGAATATTGCAAAACATGCAGATATAAAACTAAAATTCACAAAGAGAAAACAATTTTAATTGTTAAGTTGCCACTTATTTATCTTTCTCCCTATCCAACAGTTTTCCTACGTTACATTCCGCTTCACTCGAAAGCACATTTTCACTATCAGTTAATCTCATCAAATTTCTACCAAAATGATCTAAAGGGGTAAAGAGATTACCTGGCCATGATCCTCCATTGTGGTAGCTCCATCTAGTATTTTTTGGATCACATCCCGTTACAATCCTCCATTCATGGTTCTCTATGGCTGGATAACAAACTTTTAGAGGCATGTCTCCAACCAACTCCTCCCAACGTGATTCAATAAGATCCATAATGGCTGTTGCTTGTTCAGGTGTTGCTAAGGATGAAAGTATCGCAATGCAATTGCCTAAGCAAAACCAACGGAAATCCATTTTTGAAGGGCCGACATTTCCAATGAAGTAGCCTCCGTGCATTGGCATAAAATCAAAAACCCACTCTGGCAGAGAATCAGGCATGACATTGAACTTGTTGACTGCCGTGTGTGAATATTCCTCTGTTTTATATCGATATATATCATTTAGCTGCTTCAAATCCAGCCAAAAGTAATTTCTCATGTGGTAGCTCAAGGCATGTAGACGTTTCATAACCCGTTCTATAAAATCCTTTCCTTGAGCATCTTGCTTAAGTAAAACCAAGGCGCATCTCAAAGCCATGAAGAAGAGTGCTTGTATCTCAATCGGGTATCCATAAACACCCTGAAAATGTATACCAGTTATAAAATATGCAGTGAGAAATGGAATTGAAAACATGCAATGTACAACATATTTTTATAACTATCATACATATCTTTCATGTTTAGAGACGAATAAGTCCAAGGAATCAAGCATGAGAGCTAAACGAATCGAAAGATTCATGCCTTGTTCAGGAAGGGATTATGGAAGTCCTTAATACGCTCCTTTGCCATAGAATTCTCTCTACCAGACATGTCACTTGAGTGAGTTTGTAGCAATTGTATATGAAGTTAGTAAAACTGAAAACATTAAGAGGAGAAACAGAAAACACCTATGAGAAGCAGCAATAGAAAGGAAAGCAATGGTCCCAATGGTGCGAATAATTTTGGCAAGAATATAGGGATCAATCCCCATGGTCCTTTGTTCCAATTTCTTAAAGGGACTTGTTAGTCATTTCTAAAAGCTACAAGAAAAGAATGAATAATAATAACTCTAGCTTTGCCTGATGCCCTGTGTGAAGATTTGAGCTTACAAAATGAACCTCTGTATCTCAAGTGACTGGACAATGGAGTAACTCCAAACAAAAAAATGGTAACATAATAGGTTTCTATACTAGACACATCTCTCTGCAGGGATAAGCATCCCTTAATTATGCAAAACAACTGAAGAGGAGTTCAGGGAACCTGAAAGTTATCATAGGCATTGTGTATTGATTCCATATATGTAAAGCACAAACACAATCATAATGACGATTTTCAAATACAAATAATCATACAGTATTGACTCGGAGAAACTCACCATTCTACGATCAATCATACAGCATCCATCAGCACAAAGAAGTGTTGGGAATGTGTTGAATCCTTCTGAGAGGCATAAACTGAGTATCAGGCGCATACCCTTTTGGCATTCAGGCATCTCAGCCAAAGACGAGTCGCCAGTGGACTTCGTGTACGCACGAAGTAGTATGATCCACCAGAAGCCCGAATCTACTGGAGCCACTCTCCCAATGGCACTCTCGCCAAAATCTGCAATCAATGTTTCAGTATTCCTTACAGGATCATGTAATACTTTAAAACTCGCTGGCATAACACCTTCTCCCAGTTGGAATCGGTCGATCTTTTTCTCCCATGATTGAAGACGAAGAGTCTTCAGGATAAAGTTTTTAACAATTTCAGGTTCCCCATTCATCAGAAAAGCCAGTGCGCTTGGAACAAAGTCCCTGACAAACACCTACAACGACTTAATAGTTTCAGTTACCATATTCATGATTTTAAATGCCTAAAGCTTCGAAGATCAGTGACCAAATGAAGTTTCCCTTTACCCTCTTGGACTAAAAGAATTAATCAATTATTTCTTGGAATCAAATTTCACAGTTTGGAATATATTTTTCTTTTATGGAACTGCAATTCGTGAAAATAGAGTTCATAAATTGAACTAAAATCTCCAAGTTGGTTAACCCTAACAGTACCTCTATACCAGGTGATGAACCTAACAACATTCTCCGAAAAGCAGAACGATTGCAAGAATCTGAAAAATTGCGAGACTACATTAAGCAAATTGTTCTTAGTTTTCTCTAGGACTGCCAATTTTAATCATCCATAGCTAACTAAAAGAGAAATGCAAAGATACATGTCTTAGTAACTTGAGTAACAAATGCACAATGGTAGGCAAATATCAATAGGAAAGAAGACAATGTGCTATGCACATGCTTTCACCTGATCATAGTTGAGTTTTTCTTCAGAGTTATCCAAAGCGGCAATTGTCCCAACAGGTCGACCACGAAAGTACACTAAAGAACGTCTCAAAGTTTCCCAAGCCTCAGCAGTCATGGGGTGTGGCTCATAACCAAAGTGCGACCTAGGAGTATTGAGCCCGGATCTTCTACTGGGCGAAAATATACTATCTAAATGGTCGAGAACTCGATTGAAGTTATCAGCTCTAGAAGGGGGATGCGGAGACAACCCCATTGGAATATCAACAAGAGACCTTTCATCGAAAGATCGTTGTCTTTCCATATTCAAAGTTCGAGGTCGATCAGGTAACCTCGAAAAATCAAATTCTTCCATTTCAAACACACTACTCGAAGAATCCACATTTTTTATGTCACCATTTTGAGACACATCGACAGAAAGCAGAGACATTCTTCCAGTATTTGATTTTCAATCAAACGAAGTGACTGAATGCAGAACTAGAGGATCAATAATCTGCAAATATACAATAAAAATATAGTTGTATACGTGAATACACAATTTATACACAATTGCGCATAAAATAAAATAAAATAAAATAAAATCAAGAATAAGAACGGATCAACATCCTTCAGTATCCATTTAACCAATTCACATGCCCTCCAAAACAACAAAACATGCCAAGAAATTCAAAAATAACAAAAATCTACAAGATTCCTTAGAATCCAAATCTAAACGTATCAAGAACATTCAATTGAACCAATAAATAGATAACCCCATATGCCCATAATTCTCATAAGACGTTCATGTATTATTCTGGAGATTTCAAAAATAAAACCATACATTGACCCATATTAATCCACGAGAGGAGCTGTAAATCCGAGGACGAACACATGGAAACATGAATCGCCCAGAGAGTGAAAATTTATAAAACAACAATATTTCCAACGTGGGATAAAAAATTAAACCGGTGTGTGACTGGTCTACCTGCACCGGGGTGATCACATCAAAACTAATACACATACATGTATGTATATATATAGGTTGGAGCAGACCTAAAGCTCCAACACACCACTTACGGAGAGAACATGAATTATTATCAATATTTTTAAAAATTGAAAAAATAATAAATTAGCTCATATTCATCCACTTAACACAAACTGGGAATCAGGGTATGAACAATTAAATGAATGAAATATGGATCACCTGGAGTGCAAATGATTTTAATATTTCCTAAATGGGATAAAAAACCACATTTTCAAAACTAGAGAGTTTTATAAAATACCCTTTCTATGGCGATATTTCCTATTGGGATGAGAAATCAATCGGTATGTTACTGATAAATGGAGACGCCTGCAACAGGTCAGTGACGCCCAGTACTAGTTCGTACAACAATGAGCCTCGTATGAATTATGCGTCGATTATATTTTTGATTTATTGCTAGAAGATGTGTATATAAATAGGTGGAGCGGACTCAAAGCTGTAAAACACTATTCACGGGCAGAGCATGAATCGTCAGCAAAGAGACAGTTAAATGAATTTTGGACTTTTCGGGTGCTGTAAAACTGTAAATTATTGGAGTGTAACAATTGGGAAAATGACTTGCGGATGAAAATGTGAGTGCATCGGGGACTGCAGCAACAATAATGCAAGTTTTGTGCAGGAATTATGTCAGATAGTAAACGTGCTCAACTGATGGTGGCTCTATGAGTTTTGTGAAAACGACGTCCGTTTGTTGGCGTTGGGCATGCGACGGCCGGCCCGGCGGAGTAAAACAGACGGCGCACCTTTTGCATGGTGCGAAGATTTTTGTGCATATGGCAGCTAGTAAAGCTCTATTTTCAAAGCAATTAACATTTGTTTGGATCAATTTGGTTCGATTTGATAAGAGCATTTCTAGTGTTAAAATATTAATGACACCAATGTGATATTAAATGAAATATATAATTAAATGAATAAATTAATTTTACATTTCATTCGATCTATCACTTAAGGTCATTTAAATTGATTCATTTTTTTTTTTAAACTCACTTTCTTCAAGTTTTTTCAAATAAAGAAATTTTACAAGCAAATTCAGAATTTTTTTTTATACTTTTTAATTACAAATTCTTAAAAAATTTCACTATTACAAAATCTTTCTTTAAAATAATGGGACTCAAATACACCCTAACTCTGAATCATCTCTAAAACCATCCTAACCCTACACCAAAATTTAAAGTAAGTTCTACATCATTTTATACTAAATCTTACACTAAACTAAAAATCATATCCAAACATTACACCAAATTAAAAGTGTTTACTCATTTTCTTATTTGAAAAATTATTTCTTCAATTATTTTACAAGTATATTAATTAGTAATGAATAACTACATTAAATTAACGAAAATATTAAATTCATTGAAAAATATATAAAATATAGCACGATTAATAGAAATACTACAAAAAATAAAATAGTATGTGGTTCTTGTAATATATTTTGTTTTAACTTTAAATAATCGGGTTTGTTATATTTTAATTTTTTTTTGTTGCAATTTTAATTAATTAATTAATTAATTATAATTTTACATTATTAAAATTTGTGTAAGTGTAATAATAATAATAACGACAACAACAACAATTGTTGTATTAAAAAATATATAACAAAAATGATACAAATACCACCCTCCCCTCGTTAATTAGTTGGCAAGCGGAAAAAGAGAGTAAATTTGACTTTTACACCATTTTGTACCAGAATGATGCAAATTTTAGTACCACATTGAAGAGCTTTTGCACTAAATTTTTTTACATTTTAATGTTTTGGTGCTATCTTCGGAGATGCCCTAACAACATTAGCTTGACGCAAGTTACTATAGATACAAATTATAAGAAAAAAATGGATATTGAACAAAGTTGAGTACAGTTTATGCATGCCACTCGAGAATGTAAATGACATATTAAGTCATTGTTTGGACTTCATTAAATTAAAAATACATTTTTTCAAGAGTTATTTTCAACCATATATTTTTCAATAAAATAATATTACACATAAATCTAATTTTTTTTTTTCATATTTTCCAAAAAATTATTATTTCAAAATTTATATATTTTTTCAAAAGAGTTTGACATCGTCGTTGATAGAATGCCACTTAACATTCTGACAAAGTAGTTTTATCCTAGATATGACGCTATATGACACGAGATATAGAAATCCGAGTTTCGACCACGTGTACATAAGTAATCAACGCGGGTCAAGAATACAAATAATGTTGACCTCAAGCTAGAGTTTGCCAAGTTTTTTCTAATATTAATCAAACAACATTTTATATCTAGCAGCTTGTTTGGGAGTGATTTTTTGCCCCAAAAATTTGATTTTTTAACCGTTATTTCACTATTCTAGCCGTTATATTTGACTTCTTCTCTCATATGTGGACCCCGCTTTTCCCTGCTGCTTAAAAAATTAATTCTCAAAATCACTTCCAAATAGGCTCTAGGTGAGCTGTTGAACAAACTCATACTATAAATAATTATAAGATTAAAGTACAAGGTGTAATATATGATCTTTACCACTATAATTAAGGAAAGGATACAAACTTAAGGAGATACTTCCTACATTACAAATACTTAATGAAACCTTACTGCTAAATCGTACGTCTATTTGCAAAGCTACATTGAACCATAAACTATAATCAAGCCGAGCGTAGGTTGCTAGACTTGTAAGATATACATGACAGTAATGATTGACTATGGTTAAAAATAAATAAAAAAAAAAGAATTGAGTGTCTGATTTTTGTCGAAAATAGTACAATAATATGGCATATACGTGAAAAAGACGTGTGTGTGATGATTGTCGCCGGGGGCCGGG